ACACAACCGCCCCGTCCTCAAACTGTCCCACCTTGCTTTCGGTCTCTGTAGAGGTGAGGGCGAAAGTGCTGCCGGGCGGAGGCGGTGGAGTCGGCGCCCACATCTAAAGAAGAGCGCGAAAGCCCCTCTTTTCTTCTTTTTCTCGCTGCTGTTGCCGGCGGCGCCTGCTGTCGTTTGCTCGTGCCATCACGCTTGACACGGCCCGAGCTCCCCGAGCTGCAGCTGCCATAGTGACTACTGCTGTCGCTGCTGTGTTGGCTGCTGCTGTGGTCCTCCTCGTCTCCTTCATAACATGTGTCGTGGTGGTCATGTGGCGGTGAAGTGTCCGCAGCGGGGGATGGTGACGCGGCCGCTTTCGCGCCGAACCGACCACCTGTTCTTGTTTGGCAGCTGCCACGCTTCTTGTTTCGTTTACCGGGGGGACGCCCAACCATGTATGGGCTTGGATGGGCTCTCAGTGGGGTCTATGTGACTGCTGTAGCGTGTGGTGTGTGGTGTGGTGTGTGTGGCGGTACCAAACTTTGATGGGCCATAACTCTTTCAGAAATTTTTTGTTCGCAAAAAAAAACGGTCCTGGGTACAGGTCCAATTCGCCCGAATCCGTCGAGTTTTTCGAAATCTATCGGTTGGTTTCACCATTAAAAACATAACTCTGGGACCAGCTGGAATGAGTCTTTTTGCCCACTTCTCCGTTGTATCTCAGCGAATACAAAGTTGAGTTGGGTCGCCGCGTAGCCCTCAGCGTGATACGCTCAAAACCGGTCTTAAACAAAAAAAGTGGACATCACACACGCCCTACTAAAACATAACAAAATCTGGCAAAATCTCGACGGAATCGCGATTTTCTCGCCAACCAAAAAAAAAAAAAAATCTGCTCCGATCAAACGATCCGCCTGAAATAGAGCTTTTTAACGATATAAGGTATGTAATTAGGGGGTACGTCAGTCGCTCGCAATATACTCCGGTGTGATTCTAGGCAATCGTGGAAAAATTTAACCGGACGGACTATAAGGTTTTTGCCTGGTGGGTACTCCACACCACACAAACACGAACCTAGAGACAGCAGCCATCGTACATGCATATTATAGTCCAAAACGGAGAGAGAGTAGAAACGTTCATGCAGTGTCATATTTCGTCCTAAAATACTTTTGCTGGTACACCAGGTGAACGGAACTCGTCCAAGAGTCATCGCAAAAAACCAAGTGGGCACTGGTTGGTTGTCGAAAGAACGTAGGAACGTAGCCTACCAGATCATCAGCGGGCATGCATAACCTACCTGTGTTCAGGAGGACCCGATTCGCAGGGTATCCGTCGATTGACTTTTACCTGAATCGGTACTACTTCGCATGTGGCGTCATGTGGCGTCAGTTGGATACTAGTTTGGATCCCCGTGGGTGCACACTTTTTCTCCTGACTTGGACATTTTCCCAGTGTGTCAGTCCTGAGAACACCTCTGGAGTCGATCCTAAAAAGAACCTTGTGACACTTCCATCGAATTACCCATCCTGGCCACAAGAGGTTCCCAGTTGAGGGTAGATTATGTGGGTGGAGTGTTAAGGAGGACCCGATTCGCAGGGTATCGGTCGATTGACTTTTACCTGAATCGGTACACCTTCGCACCTGTGCAAGCAGAATTACAAAAGGTGCTGGCAATCTTCTGTTCGCCGTGAAGAAGGTAGTCTACATAGACAGCAAGCGGATGTGCATGCCACATGGTTTCACGGTTGTGCATCCTTTAGCCTCAACCACGGGCTATCGGCCACAACCCTAAATTTTAACCCCAACCCCGACTAGAGGTGGGAGCTCGGTTGTGGTGTGCATCGGCAAGGTCCTACCGTGTATGACACAAGATAACACACCCGCTGGACCGATTTTCAAAGCTGGAATACTCCACGACGAAGAGGACGCATAGACGAGAAGATACGTTTTCAGAGAGCTCTCGACCAGACGGCTTCAACGCCGCCGTTTTCGGCCCTGCGACTGTTGCTGCTGTTGAAAAATCGAGCTTTAGAAATCGGCCCACGGGGTGTGTTATCTTGTGTCATATACAGTAGTGCGTTGGACTTCCGCTCAACAAGACACGCTTATTGTCGACATCAACAGTGGGGCATTGAGTAGGCTTTCAGGTCCAACAACGTTCACAGCGTTCCTCCCCGACAGGAGATCCCAGTTTTAATCCGATGGAACACGACGGGCTTCGCGTCAGTCAGGTATTCGACAGAAACCACCGTTCCGTGGAACAGTCCGGAGACGGTACTGACATCTGACGATTGGCTTCGATGTATGGTTCAAGTGGTATTGAGCGTGTTGGAGGGCGCCTATTTTCGGAAACTCGTTTTTCCCTCAGAAACTTTCAGGTGGGAGGCACCGGGCCAAGCCTAGACACGCACAGGCTCACCAGTCCTAGAGCGTCAGGCAAGAGTGTAAGGTTGAAACGCTCTCTTTGCATGCATTATTACAAAATGGACTACAGTAGACCACCCCCATTTGAGTTACTGCACAACAGGCAGATGAGGGAGGGGCGAGGGAAGTGATGGGTAGAGAGAGCATCATCAGAGGAGTTGTGGTACATCGCCGAGGAACAAACGGCCGACCACACGTAACACGCAAACGTCTTGCTTAACGCAGTGCGCTCCGTTTCAAGTCGCAGTAGGGGGTGGACTCTAATGGTGATTTGCCTATTAGAAGGTTGAAGGCATCATCAGGTATCTCCATTCATGCCCTCGAACTCGCTCAACTTTCTCACAATCAACAACACACGTTACACGTCATCTTCAACAAGGAAGTGGAACACTGGTATGTTCGCAAAGTGGTGCATGAAGCGTGTAAACTTGTAAATTGGTATGGTCATGCTGCCTGCCTACATGAAGAATGAAGACGTGTTGACTGCAGTTCGGAAACTCCTTCTGATGCTTCCGTTGCCAGCTTTGCCTCTCCGTTTCGGAAATCGAAGACATCTCTCTTTGCAGTTTGAACTTGGACGCCTAGCTGAGGATGGGTTCTGTTGAACCATCTGGCATGCTCGCCTTGCTTCTCTCGCGGATCAGTATATGTCTGTCGTCAAGTAGGAGGCCCGTCCTACTGCCGTTTGAACCACAGGCAGCTCGCCCGATGCACTCGAAACCCGTGAGCCTGTTGCTGCCGTTCGTCCTTGCTCGTGGTGAGTGATTGTTCTTTCAGTTCGTACAGGGCAACGTATTTCCGCGTCGAATACATTCCCATGAGCAAACATTGCTCACTCCTCCACGGTGGTACCGTTTTGCTGACCTTCTGCCCTCGCAACACGTTTGTGATCGCAGGCGCTGTGTAGGATCAGGCAACTTGTGTTCGTTCACAACCGCCGGTGGTATCTTCCGCAAGCACACCGGGATCCATCTCTGCCTCGGTCACGCGACCGTAACGGCGCGGACGGTGGAGATCTTATGCTTCAGTCCTCACCATCCGGCGCACTGGGGACATCTGGCAGGTTGCCGTTTCAGAGGTGCCGCAGATCACGGCCCTCCCCCTTTCTTTGCGCGTTGCTGTACGACTCGGACATGTCGACGAACCCAATATGAGTACAGACGTGCAGTGCTACCGTAGTTCTCGAACCATGTCACAGCACATCGGTTGTTCGGGAACCGTTGAATTGAATACCCACGAGAAGTGTTGGGTTGTTCATTGCATTGGATCCGGCATCAGCCGAATCGGCCTGCCCACTCGATATCGACCCAAGTACACTGGTAGCCAGAGGCAGATTGTGGGTAGGTTGGACACCGACTACAACCTGGGGGGGGGAGATTGCGGGGAGGCTGCAGCCCAAAGTGTGCAATTTATCCCGCATCTTGGATAGTGGAGTTATTCCAATCATCATGGCGGGCTGCAAGCCTGAAGAAAAAATGAGTTCAACGTCGAACTCGGCCCCCCAACCTCCCCGCCCCCAAGTTGTGGTTGGGCTGCCTCTCTGGCCACCAGTGTAGTGCTGCCACCCGGTCGAGGTGGCGGTCTCCGTGGTGGCCTTTCGCGTCGGCATGCACAACACCTTACACCTATCACGATCCAGTAATCACCAACCTAATAGCTTCTCACAGTGCACTGACCTCACATCGAGCCCAGTTGATTCGGTTGAGGGCTTGGGATAGGGTACAGTATAGGTCCCTGCTTAGTACCGGTTGAATAGTGCCGGTTGCCGGTGTATTGCCGGTGAAACATCGGCGCACACCCTGGCACTAAACAGGGACCTCTACTGTATGCGTTTCAAACCGGGATGCACGCAAAATGTAGAGACATGCTTGTCTTCCTGTTTCAACCATTCTCTTGACACCTGGTGGTCGGATCGTCGCCTGATGCTTGTGATTCCATTTTCTGATGTTGCACCGATAGCGAACAACGGCAAACGCCCGCTACGCAGGTGTTGTCCTGCGACATCTGCAGGATTTCAAAGGCTTGGCTTCTATCACGGTGGTTCAGCCTACCAGAGCACATGGTCAGGGTTGACGGAGAGTGCCCGTGACATTCATCTTCGTTATACCTCTGTCTAACGTTACATTCAGGTTCAGGTTGAGCGCATCTCCGGCAACCGGTCTCGTGGGAATGCAGGAGAGCGCCTTCCTCAGCGACTTCTTCGGCTGCGTTGGTTTTTTCCCGCTATCCACCCAAAGGTGTCGCATGTAGCTATGATTGGACGACAATTTCAGTTTGGGGGAAAAGCGAGATGGTTAAGTTGCACGTGGCATTGTTGGCAGTTCGGCCAACTCATTGAAGCAGCGTCTGCATGGCGCGCGGTACTGGTGTGGTGGTGGGCGCTCGCGGCTTGCCCCTGCTGCGCCACACTCCGTTGACCCGTACATCAACGCGTGCGGTTGTTTCGTTGTCGGTGCCAGTGAAATTCGCGAGTCGATGGTGAAGGTGATGACAATTCTACAGCCGTCAGCTGTTGGGGGTGACTTTGGCGATCAAGGGCGCTTCGATGCGATGGCACAAGGGGCGGACTGGAGCAGCAAGGTCTCCGAAGGGCACCAAATTCCTATGAACCCGTCCAGTTGCACATTCTGGTGTGCAATTGCCCTGGGGGCACTCGTGAAGGGCCGTCCCATCGAATCGGTATGGAGTGGCGTGGGTTCTCTCCCTGTGTTGATGAAAACGAATTTCAATACCTGGTCGAGGAGCCAGTTATTACCTCCATTCCTACCTACATGCCGTAGGATTTCTTTAACTTGTGGAATGTATTTCGTTTACCGTGCTTGTTGAAAGGGGACCAAGTACTCTCAACTGGCCCACGAAGCCCTGGCCAAGAGCAACTCGGGCCCCGCAGACGCCGAGGTCGCAAAGTGAGTCGATCAGGGATATCCTCCACCAACATCACCAATGACCCTTGCGTTTTGGTGTATTCTCTGCCGAGCTGGTCTGCCATACGGCCTTCAATCTCGTCTCGCCTCGCTCTAGTGTTGGCGTTCTCAAGACGATCGCGGAATTAACGCGATGGGCAGCGCTCCGTTCTACGAGAACATTCACGCTGGTTATCGCGGAATGGAGCGGCAACGTCCCTTCAATATGTCTGTTGGTGGCTGCCAAGGGCATGGGCGATTCCGGCCTACTTGCACGGCTGGACAGGAGACTTGGTGAGGCGTTAACCCTGACATGTCGTGGAAGTGTGTGTACATCGCGTATATCTAACGCATATTCTGAGCTTGTTGTGCCACAGCAATGGTGGTGAACGGTCGATTTATTTGGATCGGTGCACCCGCCAGCCTGCAGCTAGATAGAAATGTTTTGCTCCAGCGAATGTATCTTTCCACAGGTTCCTCTGCTTCCGCCGCTCCACCATTTCGTCAATCCTGCAGGAAAACTATCAACAGTACCTGGCTCTTTCGGAAACATACGTGAAGAGCGTCAGAAAGCACGGGTCCACCGATGCTCTTCCAGTGGTGAGCGTGCCTTTACGGTCGATGAGGGCACAAATGTTGACCAAGGTACAAAGAGCGTACCTCCTCTAGTCTATGCCGCATCTTCTTACATTCGTGCGGCAGACCAACGCCCACGTCGACGAGAGCGGTGTTGCACGGCGAAGCGTCAATCCAAGGTGTTCAAAGAATCTAACGGCACGAATGAACAATTGACATCGATTTATTCCGATTTCCTCTCCTCGCCTGACTCTGTGGTTAGGGCAGCTGCAGACATCGCTGATGGATCCGCATGTCCCATGCAACCGTGCGCTGACCAGGGGTTCTCCGAGGTTGTCACTTACGCGGAAATTTCTGACTCTTGCTGCGAACAGAGGCTGATTAAATCGTTTCTCGCGGACGAGGAATCGATATTCCAGGTTTGTGAATCGAATACATCGCAGTGTCTCGGTGACATACTTTGAACCGGTGGTTGGATGTATATGTAGTTGGGGTTGGTTCGCTGTATCCTGGCCAGATTGTCCACGGAACAGCATCTCCGCATCATGGGAATAGGCCTTCAGCACGTAGAGTGGCATACTTGAATGCCGTTGTTATTTATTCACGCCACAATCACCATCACTCCTGCTTCTTGGCACACACCTGTTGAACATCCGGTGATCGCAATTGAACGATGCTGCCACCGAGGGCGAGATATATCACAGAGAGTGCGCTCGTCCGACAACCCGCTTCTGTGTATGGCGATTTCCAGCGCTATGGGTGTACCGTGCTGCAAAGTGGGCGTTGCATCGGTTTCGAGCCACTTGAAGCAACGGTAGATCGGTGAGTCGAATAAAGAGACATGTGAGGATTCCGAAGGGGTTACGATACCACTGTTGGACCACGGTGGGACGATGGGTTTCCACCGAGATCAGGGTGGCCTAAGGGTGGATATCAGGAGCCATCGAGGCCCGACTAATACTTGACCTGGACAGTCAAGAAACCTAGTCTGGACAGTCAGGAAACCTAGTCGTCTCCTTGTGTATGGGTTTACTTTCTTCCCATTCGCCCGATGTTGTATGTTTCGCTTCGCAATCGGCCTGCATGTCGACATATTGGATCCGGCCACTCTGGCGAGCAGGCCGAGCTTTGGTGAGGGTGTGGACAGCCTCTCATCAACGTGTGAGCTGGGGTGTCGAATGAATGTGCCCATCCGATACCATGCTTTCCAAGAGAGCCCTAACAAACTGGAGTTGTCGACAGGGAGTGTTGCAGGCCTGCTGCTTGGGCTCAGTGGGTTGGTGGTTTGTGTCCATGCCATCAATGTAAGCCTGAGATTTCATTCTTTGAGCATGACACTTCGCGGTAGCAACTGCCGATCAGACGCATCGCTGCTGTTCCCCTGTGCCTAGGCTTCTCACGTGGTATATTTTCGCCCGTTCATTCTTTTTCCCGGGAACCTCGAGTGCAACACGGCCCTTGTCTTTGAAAAGGGAGTAAAAGGCGACCTGCAAGCCTCCATGGAGAGACTTTGCCGCTGCGTAGAGGTTTATGAGCGGTATCCTGGCTTGTGCCGTGGCACAATGGGATGAGTCGCGCGTGCGTCCTCGGCACATGCAGAGTTTATGCAACTAGCGGGGACGCCCAGCGTTCGCTACGTCATCTTGCTCCATGCACTTGTTGTGAATGTGTCGATGATGCCTTATCATGTGCGCGGTACTTTCTCCGCGACGAAAAAAACGTGCGATTTTGGTTTGTACTTTTCCGTTCATGGATGCTACCGTCGGATAGACGTAGAGATTGCTTCTCGCATATCGTGAGAAACGCTGTGTTTTACCTGTTCTGCGTTGGGATGTTGTCTTGCCTCGCGCTTGCAGTATATTCCGATCAGTTAGCCTTTGCGAAAAACCTTTGGGCTGTTCGTTCCGGTACTGGTCGACAGCGGCAGTGAGTGGCATCAGTTGGGCCCGTCGTCTTACATGGCAACCCCCAATTTTCTTACGCTTGTGGGTGTCTCATGGTGCTTACTTCGTTCGTAGTAAAGCCCACGGAAGCATCGCTGGCCGATGGGGCGCATCAAAGTGTACGAAACAGACGGCGCTCGGCGTTGACATCTGTGGAACCCTGCTGCTGTCTCCAGGTCGTGCGGAGTTGAGTTGGATTGGTCGAGGAAAGCACATGACTCGCCAATGAATTTCACGTCTTCGTGGACGTGCGATAATAATGTTTCATCCATGCACGTCAAGACGTCATCGGGTCGCCACTCCTGGAAATTTATGGCGTTGTCGCTGTGCACGCGGAGGAATGAGGCACTTTGTTCATAGTGGCACCGCAGCTTGCTTCGGGCAGCCGTGCTGGTCCTCTATGAGGTTGTCATTTCCTTTTTCGGCCGTACTCTCGCTCCCACCGGCCGTTTCAAACGCGGAAGTTCAGTTGACCTCAACGGTAGTTGTTTCTCGAGGGATCCTCGGGAGTATCTTTTTAAAGGTGCTGTAGAGAACACCGGCGAGCTGAAAGTTTCCAACAACCAATCAATACCTGTGTGAAAAATTGTATGCGTGCATTTGTTCTCCTTGCGTCCTCACGACGACGGCTTTTTGTCAACAAGAAATGGGCAAGCAAAGACAACCATCGGCTAATACTCAATCTGATGCAGAGAGTAAGGAAGAGAAACAGATTCGCATATAAGGTGTCCAAAGAACCACAATCAATCGGGGCTCCCTGCAACGGTGCATGCGCTTCTATGTACGACCGAACCGTTCCCCTTCAAAATGTAAGCGGTTCCCAAAGGAGTTCTGAAGCTTTAGCTTCAGCTTCGCAGGCCAATATCCGTGGAAGTGAAGTTTCATTTGACTCTCCACCCCCTTGAATTATTATTCGGATGGTGCTGTTTTTTAGATGGTTGGAAATGCACAACACACGGGCAAAGCGACAATACTGGGAGGCCAGGTGCGCTCAAGAACAGGTGATGGTCGGCTGACACACATCGCGTCTTGTTCAGACCCGCAAACTGTGCGCAGCATCATCCCGACACAGGTGTTAATTTTCTCGCTCGTAGATCACCCCTCGTGCCGAAACTTGCAAGTATGTGACCACCATCAACGGCGCTACGCATCGAGCTCATCCGCCTTTGCCGTCGAGCTTCTTTGATATCCACCTTCTTGACTTTAGCACGCAGCGTGCGCGACACAAACATCCATGCCCCACGTGCCAGGTTCTCCCTCGAGCCGCGTCGGACTCCCACTCCCGACAATATCTGCATGTTTTTTCTTCTTCGGGACCCCACGCCTCACGCTCACCCTTAACCCCCGGTCGGTTCGTCTTATTACTCAACATGACATTATTATTTCAGTTCCTTAGGGTAATTCATTATTTTGTCGGTCGTGCCCGACCGCGAACCCCTTTGCACTACTTTGCCGTTCACACGTTTACACCAACCACCTGTCATGTATTGAATTCGCAACCAACCTTGGAACTACATGTATGTTTCATACATACAACACTCGCCGATTTCCTCGCGATATCCGTTGAAAATGTATTAAAAATATCTCATCCCGAGTTTACGCCCTTCGTATTGGGTGCATCTTTCACACGACAACCAACCAATGTCTATCTTTGCGAAAAAATGTATGCCACGCGCGCAAATATTCTCGTTCCATCCTTGCACCGACGGTTTTTTCAAGAAGGTAACGTCAAGCAAAGACGGACAGCCATCGACAAATGAACCAATCTAAAATAGAGAGTACAGACGAGAAAATGGTTCGCATGCGCATACCACAACAATCAACCGATGCTGCGTGCCAAAGAACGCACGCTACTGCATTTTTGCATCCTACAGCGCAGCTTTCGATTTCGACATCACACGCATCATTCTGGTACCGTGGGAGGGGCTCAATGTTGCCGGTTGGATAGTGCCGGAACCCGGTGTAGTGCTGTAGTGCCGGTGTTTTCGGCCCACACAAACCGAAAGAGTCGTTGTAGACTATAGGTCCTCGACAACGCTGATCTGTTGTCTAGATCGTGAAATATTGGAGCACGAAGCTGTTCGAGAGCTATATAGCGTACGAAATTTCCGAGAAACGGTATTGTCATCAAAGAAGCACCCTTCGTTCAATATGCGTGTCTAGTGCAATAGAAAACGCCGTCGAGGGTTGTCCGTGGAGACGGGTCTTTCAGCCATAGATTTATTGTTTCCAAAATGACACCCCCTTCTCGAGGAACCTTGTATCTGAATGATGGCGAGAATATGAGGAATATGTGCATGGATGGTCATGGATTGGCCTGAGTGTAGACGCTTGCGAGAGACGTGATATTTCCAGCGCGTACTGAAACAGGTCGAGGAACAATCGCGAAAGAAACACTTAAGAATCTCACAAGGATCTGCGCGAATTCCAGAAGGATCCTGCAGATAATTTCCACGGTCTCTAACGCAATGCACGTGGCTGGAACAACTCCCATCATTGCTCTGAAAAGTGGTTGTACCGAGTATCCTGTCCGGCCCGGCCGGTGTTTCACCCCACTACTGGTGCTAGTGCTTCTTGCGTTCCCCGCTCCTTCTCAACCGTCTCGTGAGTGAAGCAATCAAGATTCTGAGGTGACAAGATCTGCCTACTACGAGAGCTAGGAGAGCGGGGTAGTGGCCGCCGGGACAGATGGAGGAGGAGGGTCTGTGACCAGCGTCGGGAACGAAATCCATGACATTCTACATGTGAGGGAGCCATCTCAACCTCTCTGTCGCAGTTCATCTAGTGAGGTTCGTCATGAACGTGGATCGGCGTGTGGATGCACCCCTGTCGATACTATGCAACGGTCTATTCCTGTCCAAAGCAAACGCTAAGCCTGCCCACTGACCACACCAATCAGCAGGTAGGTGCATGGCACGTATTTGAAGGCTAGAGAAATCCGGACTTGTGTCCACGGCTGTTTCCGATTGGTTCTGGTTGCCGATTTGGACTGCCACGTTCACTGGAGCGGGAGAACGGAGAACACGATCAAACCACGCTCAGCTGTTCCGACGCACCCTTTCGCCGAAGGGTGCACACTGGCGAACGCAATTCAACTCTCGCACACGCCTGAACCTACGTGAAACACGCGACGAAACGTCGAAATCAACACATACAGAACGGCTGCTTACTATGACACCATGCGGTGACCCGGTTGTCGGCACTACAGATGAAATGATACAAGATCGAAGCAAGACACGCCCCACTGTGCACGGGTTCATGTAGGCATACAGACTACAACTGCATTCGTCTTTCCCAGCTGGTGCGTCAAACATGTACAGAAAGCTAAGCTGGCGCTTATGAGTGGATCGTAGCAATGTACAGTAGGACCGTACAATATCACACACGAAAAAAATGAAGCTAGAGAATATAGCACAATTGCACAAGAACAACGAGAAATCGGAGAGAAAGCAACCTCCCTGCAGAGCATACTACAGCTTTGGGGCGTGTAGTGAAGCCCGGTTGAAACACAGTGGTAGTTGTGCTTTGTATGTTCATTTCCTCAAGTGTTGTGAACAATCCGGAGTCTGGACCCTGTCGTCCAACCTCCTCCATGCTTTCCTCTACTAGGGGAGCTCGATGACTGCA